TGGGACTTCCCAAATGGGTTTTTGGTTATGCCAGTTCCTCGGCTTTATTGCGCTATTGCTCCCATTACTAGATGGTGTAACCGAAGTTACAGATTTATCTAAGATCCAACTGATAATCATAATCGTCAACCGTAACGCAAGCCTATTTTTCAAAATTCGTCGTCTGTGGGATTCAAACTCTAGACCTGCCACTTGGAGAGAGTGACAACTAGACCACTACACTAAGTCGCCACACCTCCTCAGAATTAATACAAAAAATATTCTAATGCATATTAATATAACTACAGTCAAACTTCCATAAATGCAACCTTTATAAATGCAATACCTCTCTAAATATATGTTTCTGGCCTAGCTATAAGAAATTATTAGTGCTAAATACACATTCTATATTCTGCAAATGCATGTTTACTCAAAAGATTTTCTATATTATACTAACCTCTCTAAATGCATGTAGCCAATCAGAATTCAGTATTCAAGTTGTGTTATACAAGTCTGCAAATCAAATATTAAAAGTTGCAATTTGATTGGCTTTCTCTAAATGCAAATCTCTCTAAATGCATAATTGAAGCTGGTCTATACACATTGCATTTATGAAGGTTTGACTGTATGCATTTTGACTCATTATTAAATAATAGAATAATATAATTTAAATAAATCATATAATATAAAATATATAAAATGCATAAAACACCAAAATTTTAATATATAGACAATAATCTTTTTCACTTTATTTTCTATATCCTTTAAAATATATTGAATAGCAAGATTTAAGATATAATTAAAGCACCGTATTAATTGCTATATATTATTAAATATAAAACTAGCCATACATATAGAGTTGAAAAAATCATATAGAAACTTTATATTGGCAGATGCATTATTACAGGTTATTGATATTATTCAATTTTTTTAAAAACAGTCTTTCATAGCACTTGTAATTGCAATACCTGTATATGTATCTTCTATAAAAATAAATCAAGAAGAATATGTTTTATTTCCATAATTAATTTAGATAATGAATTGTAACAGCTATAAATAATTTTTTATTAATCAAAGCTGTCCAAATATTAGTTGTTATAGCTATATGTTTTAGAAACTTCTGCAAATTCTTTATAATATGTTGTTTTATAAGGTCAGCAGAAGGTATTAAAAAAAAACTCTTATTTATTTATTTTACAAATAATATTAATATATTAAATATATTATTTAATAATATTTTATCAATGGCTTTAGATTCTAAGTAAATAAATATAGATTTAAGTTCATTATTTTCAATAATTTGAACTGACTAATTATGTTTAATGATTCACCTTTTTATTATATCAATAAGTTTTTGTTAACTAAAAGGTTTATGTTAGTAGACTTTTAATATATTCAAAACATTAGAACCATTTTTTACATTTGATTTATTTAGTTTAGACACTTTATATATTTTGAGGTGTCTTAAAAGATTTGATATTGTTCTATTATTATAAGCCACAAATATTACATGTAGCACTGCCTTTTTTCTTTATAAAATACCTTCATACTATAGATCTATAAAATAAAAGCTAATAAATAAAAATATATATATTTGATATATATATTTTAAAAGTAAATCTTTTGTATATATTATCCTTCATTTGCTTCATTGCAAGTTGAAGGTTCTACTTGGGATGATTATTTAGTTGGGCAAGATTTATCTTGATGTGTTCACTTTGGCAAAATTTGTCAGAATGTAATTTATCTTGATGTGAATTATTTTTGTTTGATTTATTTTGATATGACTCATCTTGGTATAAATCACTTTGGTATAATTTATCTTAATATAAGTAAGGTTTGTTTAAACATAAATTGTCTGAGTATAATTTACTATAATACGGTAACTTATATTTTTCAAATTTGTTTTAAAAATTAGTTAATATTAATTGAGGAAGTTTAAAGTGTAAGTTTTTGTGTTAAAGAAGAAAAACTATATTTTGATAAAAAAAAAGCACTTTCTAAACACAAGTATTTACTGTATTTAATTTTTTTCCCCCCTATACTTAAGCTTTTTTTTTAAAAAAATGTAAGAAAAAGGCTAAAAAAAAACTAAAGCAAAGTATATAAGTTTTAAACTGCAAGTTTAAGTGCAAGTTTTTTATTTTTTTTATCATTATTGAATTGCATTTATAGAAAGTCATTATTATATATTAAAATGCAAAATAGTATCCTTTGTTTATTCTGATTAATTTAGCTCAATTAAGCTTGGTGGTTTAAAAAAAAAATTATGAAATTAGCCAATTAGCATTTAATATTATTTTAATAGACCAAACCAGGTATTATCTAGCAAACCTTCATGTAGGTCTGAAACCATATTAATCTTAATAAAATCATAGATCCGAACTTGATTTGTCAACAGACCTAGACCAGACCCAGGTGAACCCAGATCTTTTGCAGAACACTAGTTAGAACAATAAAATCATGTTTGTATATATATATCATATAAATTAAATAACCTAATTTGAGTTGTTTTGTGCATGCCATGTATATTGAGCTATATTTGAGCTGGTATTGATGGTCAAATTAGTTAATCACATAATTTTCTTGAGGTTTGATTGGCTAAGAAGGCCAAAGATATATAAGTTATATATCTCTGACTAGAGATGCCTAGAAATTTCCAATTTTATATGTTTTTTGTGTAGCAAAAATTTTTTATAAAAGAATTTTATTCTTTGTACAAAAATATTTTTATGGTTCACGTCACTTATAGTTATCAAAAAAATTCATGTAATTTTAAATAACATTCTGTCTTTTAATTTAAGTGGTATTAAAAATATAAACCATAAAAATAGTAAATCTAAAGCTTCTTTTTCAGATTTATGTCTTGCTTTTTTTAATCATTTGTTGCTTGGTGAAATATTAAAGGTTAAAATTAATTAGTTTCTCAAATTTTGAACTAAATATAATTTTTTCTTTAATAATATGAAAATTTGACCAATAATAACCGAGACACGTGATTAAATCTATAAAAATTTCGGAAAGTTAGATGAGTATAGGTGACGTGACCATAGGATTTCAAAAAATGCAGTTAAACTAATAAATTTTTAATTACAGCATGCTTAATATTTATAAAATTTTTAAAAATATTAAAGATATAGATTTTTTGAAAAATTAATAGATAAGTATTTACTAAATCTAGTACAATATACTAAAACTAGTACGGGTAAATCCAAGCCGTTAATTAAAAAACTGTTTTATATACTGCGTTTAACTAAAAAAAATACATTTTTAATGTTTTAAAATAATATAATCAGATATTGAAATAAATAAATAAAAAACTAAAATCTATACATAAGCTTATTATCCTCTCTATAGAAATTATCTTTAAATTAAAATGCTCTACTGCTAAATGTAATTCTTTTTTGAACCATAACAAACAACAATAAATTCTTTTTCTTAAAGACGAATGTATTCATTTTAGGTTTTAATAACATTTTTTACACTTTTACTTACATTTTAACATACTAATAAAATATATTTAATTTATTTTCGCACCTTAACATACTAATAAAAATTAATTATTTCGCACTTTAACATACAGTTCTATATTATATTATCAGCTCGTTCGGCTCTACTATTAATCGGTTTTTATAATAGTCAAATATACGGGCCGAATAAAGTCAATAACGTCCTATTGAAAACATTAAACGAATACAAGTCGCTCTCGTTATAGTGAAGTGATCGGACTGTGAACTTTCTTTACTATATCGAGAGTCTATTGGTAAATTTTAAGTAATCACTATATCGAGAGGGTTTTTATATAAGCTGTTCTTCACTATACTTTCACTATAACGAGAGTAACTTGTATATGCGACATTGATATAATTTAACTATGCGATTTTGTTTAATCACATTAAATCCATAATTTTCGTCCCTGAATCAGCCCGACAAGACAAACAAAAAAAATTCCGAGAAGGCAATTTTACTTATAAGCTTGCCCTAATTCTAGCCCCTACCCTAATTTTAATTAAAAAATCAAAGTTATATGAACGCACCCTGCATCCTGAATTTAAGCATTTTATAAGCAAATTTCTAGCCCCATAAAATGCCGCCGTTTTATTTTAGACCTTGCTTTAATTTTTTTGATTCTAATTTTGGTATATTCACTTTTTTACTACATCTTAATGCTGGCCAAAATTAATCTTAAAACTGCCTGCTTTAGCATTAAATTGCCACCCAAAAAATTTGCAGATTTAAAGCAAAAAGAGACCAAAGTAATATTTTTACAGTGTGCCCTGCAATAATTCTTTCATCCTCAAAACCAACATTACAACGTTATATTAAATTTTCAATATGAAATTTTTTGAAGCACTGACCAAAAATTTTTCTTCTAAAGCATGAATTACAATTGATTAATTTAAAAATAATAATGCTATTCATTATTGTTTACAACCAGAACGTATTATGAATTCGTTATTTCCAAATCTTGTAATTAGTATTTTCAAACTTTTAAAATCCTATTTTGGCTTGTAAATATTACAACGATTACACTTTATAATTCGATAATTATTCACATAACGATGAAATTAATTGGATAGCACCAGCATTATGAAAGTTTAGCCAGTACTGTTAGAGATGTTCAAAAAGTACACCAGGCGCAATGAAAGTTTTGGCTAGCGTTATTTACGTGATCAAAACTACATGAAATTTTGGTTTCGGTTTACTCTTAGGCCAGTACCATATAAATTATGAGAGGGTTGGTCAGAGAGTTACGGAATTATATATCTTTTAGAAGAAATTAAATAAATTTTTATTTAGGGGAAAAGTATTAAAGTACAAACTTGGGCAAAATTAAGATTAGCATAGTATAATTTTGGCCAATTTTGAGTTATCGAAACACGTTCCTGTATACTGCATCCTGATTGGTTATTTGGTATATAGTTATAAATCGATATATCGGATATCGATATCAATCTTTTTGACTAATTTCACGCTTAAGATTTTTTTATTTATCGATGATGTATCGCTCCGGAGTCGTATTAACCTGCAAAGGCACGGAAAGTTTCGCTTGTTTTTGTAGGATTCTTGCTGCGAGGTAATATGATGGCTGAGCCTGACATAGTAGAATCAGAATGGCAAGATGAGTTTATCGCGCTTAAAGAGGCAGGAGCGACTTATTTCATTAAATAGTTTTTTTTCTTTCTCAACATCGGTTTTAGGTGTGGTTGTATCATTCATGCCTACGACCTTTTTGGATACAACCTGGATTATTATAAACCTAGTCATGGGATACACCTCTACGTGGTGACTAGAACAAGTAAGCTAATTTTTTTCTTTAGCTGAAACTAAGTATCCTTGTGTAGGGAAAAAAGAATCGTTACATATAACCTTCACGGCAATCAAGTATTTCCGGGCCAGCAATATCTAAAAATAGAGCAGTATAAATAGAAAAGAATAGTAGAATTGGGTATATTAGCAGATAGAGTTTATATATTGTATATATAAAAATTTTTCAAAATAAATTTTTTTCTTTTTTACTTTCGAACATACTATTTCAAATTACTGTTTATCTTACCGTTTTATAATAATCATAATTTGTTCGAAGTAGCGAAAAATTTTTATAAATTTTGTATGTAACGTTTTTTTTAAGAACTTGTTAATGCGAAAGATGACATCAGTTTGTAAGTGATTGTAAATATTTCGATAGGTTAGGTGAAAATACTATATATTAGAATCCAAAATCATAAAGTTTTGCGAGAAGGGTGCTGGTAATTACAAGAAAAGTTACAATTAATAAACGAAAATTTCATTTATTAACGATGCAGCTGTCGTAATGAGCTAGAAAGAAAGAAAATGAAATTATAGAAGAATCTAGCATAATTAACTAATCATAAACTTTTTTCACAGTAAAATTTATTTATAGCTTATTAATTGTATTCATATTGTTTACATGTAAGCTCTTAATCTTCAAAGATTCCCTTCACGATAAAACTCCAACATTAGGTAAACCTAGCAAGTTATCGTAACCAAGGCTCATCGAAGAATTGAGCTAATCTTAATACATCTCATTTTGGAAGCCTAAATTATTCACATTTTCGCCTATAGATCGATACATACTTGAAATCTGAAGATGGCAATTCTAATGAACAATTCATTATTGGTTCATGATATGAAAATGAATATCCAAGGACGGATTTGAACAATATTCGTACAATATAATCTCGCGTTGTGTTATTGGTATAAACCGGTGATGAAGATGGCTATTCTATTCCGATGAACGAATTTTATTATAGAATAGTATTTGTATCTTTTGAAGTGGTAATTCGAATGGACAATTTAATGTTAAATTTTTCTATGACCAAGCCGCCACGGATGAAAAAAAAAGCGTTTGAGCAATATTTAAAATCTATTGAAGGTGACAACTCAACCGGGCAATTAATCACGGAATACAGAGAAGGTATAAGCACAAACAAGAATGAAAAAAGGGCATTTGAAGACGAAGTCTGTTGAAGGTGGCTATTCTAATGTAAAATGAATTCTACTAAAGAAATAACAGATACAGCCAGTGTTGGCATTTGGATTATGTAAAATAAAAATTCATTTGGGCATAGGTAAAGTTCCTAGGTTTGGAACCTTGGAACCTGGCTTTGGAACCTGGTTATTAAAACCAAAGTTCCAATTTTGAAACCTAGGTTTTTAGTTTCGTCGTATTCGATTATATAATATATATGTTCTTACTGTATATACCGTAAAATCTCGAAATAGCGGGCATGGGCATTATTTCGAAACTTGGCCCGAATTAAGCTTAATTCGGGCCAAGTTTCGAAATAACGCCCATGCCCGCTATTTCGAGATTTTACGGTATATTGTATTCCAAATTCAAATTATTCTGACTTAAATCCAAATAAGAATTTTGTAATTTTGGCTATTATACTAAATTAAAATTTTTTATTACAAATTTTAATTATAATATTTTAAAGTCAAATTTTAATTTAGGTATCTAATCTGGGGTATAATATATGTTATTTTTTTGAATCAATTTGGCAATTATGCTGTTACTTTATTAGTCTCAATACTAAATCTATTTCATATCTATTTCATACAAGTATGAGTTAATAACCAATTGGCCAAACCTAAAATTATAAATATTAGCTAATCTGGTTCTTTGTGACAAAAGTTTAAATTATTCATGTTTGATTTGCTATAGTAAATTTCTCCTTTATACTAATTTTTTCTACAACCAAAAAAACACTAAAAGGCTTTTATAGTGGTTCTATTGAATCAAACTATATTAAACTTAATTAAATTTGAGTTTAGTTTGATTTTCAAATTGAACTCAAAACTAAAATTTGTTTAAATTTATATAAAGTTTAAATTTAATTATAAATTTTTTGTTTATATTTGATTTGATTTGAAGTTTGATTTGAAGTTTGCAAACAAGTTTGAATTTGATAAAAATAAAATTTTAATTTTTTTTTTTTAATAGTCTTGTTTTTATTTATTTGGATTACTATTTAATGATGTAAGATATAAAGCCTTTATAGTATACTGTTCTAATCTAATAAAAACTTACTAAACACTATGCCCAATGTAATCTGCTATGATGACTAATTTGTTTCTCTTAGGATTCTTAACTTGCTAAGAATTTTGTACTATAAGAATACTTCTTGATCACTGACAGGTTTGCTACGTATCTTGTCAAGACTGCTATTCCTTCTTTTCTAATTTTTATTTTTTCTCAAAAAGCATAAAACAAAAGAAAAATATATAAAAAATTTTTAAGAAAATGACTAAAAATAAAAACAAAATAAAAAAAACACAAATTATAGAAAAAAGAAAACAGAAAAGAAAAAAGAAGTTTTGACAAAAATAAATCTAACTATTCAAACACTAAAATATACTATTATAACCTATGAATAGTTTGTAAAAATTATATGACAATTGTAACAAATTGCATATTTCTAACTCAAAGTATATACTTTGATATTCATTGAGAAACCAAATAGAGTGCAGATCTGCGCAGATCTGTGACACTGGAAATTTTAATCTAAATTTATAGTAATTTATGATAACTCGTGAACCAGTAATTGGAATTTAACAATTTAGATACCATTCAATTCGTCTTGGTGAGACGGATCGAATGGTACCAAAATCGTTGATTTTCAACTACTGGATCGCGAGATAATTACGTTTAAACAAAGTGTAAAAGCATCAAATGATCTCGCTAACTAGTGGTTCAAAATTGATAATTTTGGTACCATTCGAACCGTCTCATTGAGAGGAATCGAATGGTACCAAAATCATTAAAATCGGATTACTGGTTGGTGAGATATTTACAAAAAACGCTTTGCGGCGCAATTCTGTACAAATTTTTAAAAATAAATTTTCAAAACTGCGCTACAAAGCGTTTTTTGTAAATATCTCGCCAACTAGTGATCCGATTTTAATAATTTTGGTACCATTCGATTCCTCTTGACGAGACGGTTTGAATGGTACCAAAATTATCAATTTTGGACCACTGGTTAGCGAGATCATTTGATACTTTTACACTTTGTTTAAACGTAATTATCTCGCGATTCAGTGGTCCAAAATTGGTAATTTCGGTACCATTCGATCCGTCTCACCGAGACGAATCGAATGGTATCTAAATTGTTAAATTCCAATTACTGGTTCACGAGTTATCGTAAATTATCATAAATTTAGATTAAAATTTTCAAGGTTGCAGATCTGCATCTTATTTGGTTTCCCGATGTTAGTTATTTCTTTTCGACTTGGTTTTTATATTCAGATTACTCTTCAATACCTGTAATATTGTTATATGAGATATCAACGAGCTTATAAAACAAATATATAGTTGTGTATCACTAAGATTAGTTTAAATTAAAAAGAATAAACAATGCTAATCTTTGGGTAAAAATATACCAAAATGTCTATTTTTTATAAAAAATTAGAAAAAGGATGATAGAAAGGTAAAAAAGATTGTAGTTACAAAAATATACAAAAATCTAAAGGAGTGTACTAAAAAACAAAACTCTTGTTGTTTTTTCTGCATTCTTCTTTAAAGTAATAATTTAAGAGCTTTATTAACAAGAAAAGCTTTTGTCTCTTTACCAAGATTTTGTATACAAAAGTACTATTTGCTAGTTATTTTATATACTAATGCTCTTGGTTTGTATATCAAAGATTTATTATAAAAAAGTCCTAAAAAATAAAGAAACATTAACCTCTAGACAAACTACTACATTAGACCAGAATCTCTAAATATACTACAGTATAAGAGATATTTATTGTGATAATTAATATAATATCTACTAAAAAACAAGAGCTGTTAAAGTTCAAAGCTTTAATTTTTAAATTTTAATTAGGTAAAAATAAAATAGTGACTCCTATATGATCGACCAATTATTTTTTAAATTGGCAATCATATAGATTATCTTTTTTTTTTATTTTTATTTTTTTTATTTTTTTGTTTTTTTACTAATATTAATATTTTTTTTTCAGTTATTATTGCTAGAGCTTTAATAAAATTGTCATTGGAGCTATTATTAGAGCTATTGTTGGAACTGTTAATGAAATTGTTATTGAAGCCATCATTGTTGGAGTTGTTGTTGGAACCATCTTTGGGTCATCATTGGAGCCTTAAAGCTGTCATAAAGCTGTGTTTGGGTTGTGGATTTCTTGTTCTTTTGGTAGTTTGATAGATTTTTTTTTTTCTTTTAAATTCTTCATATTTTAGTATATCTTTATATATTCTATTTTTTAAATTCTTTGCATTTATGTAGATCTTCTAATTAAGTTTTGCTCGTCGCTTTTTGGTAAGTTCTTTAGCAAGTTTGTTATTTTTGGCACCATTTTTTGGCTAGTTCTTTGGCAAGTTTTTTTGTCATTTTTGGTGATTTTTTGGTAGTTCAGTAGGTTTTTTTTTTCTTTAAGTTCTTCATATTTGGTGTCTTTGCATATTTTGTTTCTTAGATTCTTCATATTTATATAGACCTTCTAGTAAATTTTGCTCATTATTTTTTAGTTGGTTCTTTAGCAAGTTTGTTATTTTTGGTGCTATTTTTTGGCTAGTTCTTTAGCAAGTTTTTTGTTGTTTTTGGTGAATTTTTTAGTAGTTCAGTAGGTTTTTTTTCTTTAAGTTCTTCGTATTTTGGTGTGTTTTTGTATATTCTGTTTCTTGGATTTTTCACATTTATATAGATTTTCTAGTAAATTTTGCTTGTTTTTTCAGTGGATTC